AGGAAAAAGGTATGAGAATTTACTTGGTAAATAATGACTCTATTAGAATTCTCATTAAATAACAATTGATTAGTACTGAAACCGTATCGAGCGTAGACTCTAGTTGAACTTTTGTACTCAGTGTAGAGACAAAAGAATAAACGATATGTTTATAATCTCCTGATACGTTATCAACGTACATTACGCATCGCAAGTGATGAAACTGCTCTGCATCGCAAAATTGTACGAAAGTGAGACGACTATGAAGAAACGATAAATGTTGAGAAACATCTGTGAAGCTGATGTCAAAGATCCTCATGTGGACTCAAGACGATCTAATCGTTGATTCAAACACGAACGTTTAGAATCAAGAAACTCTGTTATCTAAAGTATCCGATATTATTGTTTGACTTATTAGGACACATTATGCGATTACTTGATGTGAATCAAAATCGTTCGTTAAGCGGCAATTCTTTGTAAAACATCGTTGAAGTCCCATACAAGAAAATCGACATTATCCTTAGAGCATCTCCAACGGAGGTAGTTAAAATCCAACTGCTATAATGCTTTTTAACTTTTGAACAGTAGATTAAATATCCACTTGCTCCAACCGTGTGCTTCTATTATAGCATATGTACAGTGCCTTCTCTCTTTTCATCCACAAACTCCAACCATATCCCCACAAACTCCCTTCTCTCCTCCAATTATAATAATTTTTTATTAAATAGAGTATATGCAGCACCTTTCATTAATAGAAGCTCTAACTCCAATTATAAAAGATGTTCTATTTTTTGAAACATCCGTTGGAGCAAGAAAATTGCTACAGTAAAGTTTATACCATCTATATTTTAACATTTGAAGGCTGCATTGGAGATGCTCTTAGTATGTATTAACTGACTGAACGTCGTTGCTGTTGTCAACTTGTGATGAAGAATTCCTCAACTGAAGACCAATGATGGTAACCTTATAGAGGTGAAAGCAAAGCTGATTTCTAAACCGACCAAGTTCATCTCGAATATATATACGAAAACATCTCAAGTGTGAAGTCTATTCGTGTGATACCCAAAAAGAAACATCTAAGCTAAAGGAACGTACCGAAAGTATGTCACCCCTCTGATATGAACTTCCTTATGTTTCATCGTTCAAAATTCTGTCAATCTTGATCCTCGAGAGGACCAATATTCGTAAATCTGTATTGAATATGTTTCCGTTTAAAAAAAAAACTCAACTATGAAGATTGCTTGACAAGGAATCATGTGATAAAGTGTTTCCTCCTTGGGAGAATGCATGTTCTGATCATACGCGAATAAAGAAGAATCTATGAGACTCTGTATCAACTAGTGTCAGTTGAACAACTCATTATCCTTTACCTCATATCGATGACTTATTTGATCAACTTAGAGGATCCATTGTGTTCTCTAAGATTGACTTACGGTCAGGATACTGTTAAATCCTTGTTATGGAAGATGGACAAACTGACAATCAAGAATCGCTACCCTTCATTACGATTTGTTCGAAGAACCTGTTTGTTAGAAGTTATA